CTCCTTTTTTAATTTAATTACTGCATTTTAAGTGTATTTATTTATTTATTTATTGGTCCATTATATATTTCTGCTTTTATTTCTAATAATGTCAGTTTTGATCCTCCACAGCTACAAATGTCAGCTTACAACAGTTTTTTTTTTGTTTATCTCCAACATCTCTGTTTGAGGTTTACAGTAACTCAGAGTTGATCCGGGTGGAGCTGGAGACCACCTACCTCTGATCCTGGCCGGCTCGACCCCCGAGGAGCTGCGTCAGAGTGGGAATGGCGTCGAGGTCACAGGGGTCACCCGGTGACGCAGCGGGAGGCGAGGGGAAGGCTTCGGCGAAGACAGACGCCTGCAGGAGACGGAGAGGAAGCTCAGTCACAGAAACGTCTTCCAGCATTGATTTATTTATCGTCCAGCGCAGAGACTTCAAAACATCTCATTTAAAAATAACTTTCTTCTTTTCTCTCCTCGTCAGCGACGTCTCTTTCATCGTCTGCATCTTTTCTGTCTGTGTTTAAAGTTTCTCCCTGCATTTAGTGTTCACTTCATTTTTCATCTTCAGTGTAGGAACAGAACAGGCCCAACGTGAGCCGATCTGCCGCACGAATCACGGATTCGTTTCAAGGCTGCAGGGAAGTTTGGGCCATGAGTCGTAAAACAAACACTGGAATTTATCCTGAAACAGTCATGTAAAATCAAAAAAAGTTAAAGGGTTAAGGATGAAATGAACTGTACCGGGCTGTGAGTGGTCCAGAGCTGGTTTCCCGCCGCCTCCACGGCGCTGTTGGGCCACCACTGCTCCACAACGTTTCCACCTGAACCCTGAGGGTCCTGAGGAAAGGCGGCCCAGGTGTCGTCTGATTGGTGGAGCGAAACGTCTGTCCAATCAGAGACGGCATGGTCTCCAGGTTCTGTTAGCGAAAAAAAAAGTCATTTCTTGGGTTTTTAATTAGTTTAAATTTTTAGGCTTTTTAAAAGTTTGTGGCAAAATTCGTTGTATAAAATCTACATTTTGCTGCATTTTCAATGGCTACTTTTGCTGCAGTCGTACTTTTAAGTGGGAAATTCCAACTCACAAGTTGTGAATTTAAACTGGAACACCCTTCTAGTGGGAATTCCCTGTAGGAAAGTGGGAGTTTCACAACTCACCACAACACAACAGTGAGTAAAACTCACTTATTTTTACTTTAAAAGTATTTCTGTTTTGTTTATTTCACATTTAGTCAGTCGTACTTTTCTGTGTTTATAAGAGGACATGTTAAAACACTGTTTCTGTGCAGGAAATACCAGGTAGAGCTCAGGGTTTGTTAGCGGCTGTAATAAAACAAGGAACGAGACGTTTTATGTTTAGTCAAAGTTAACCACATCTGGCCCTTTAAGGGCCACCATGGTGCTCATGTGCTTTGTTTTCATTTAAAAATTTCTGGCTGCTGAAGACTGAAGGGCAATAATGTTTTTGGCTTTGAATGTGTGTCTGCAGCGTTAGCAAAATATCTCGGCACTTTTGGAGTCTGCATCATTCAAGATGGCCGCCACAGCAACCTTAGCAAACAGAAAAAAAGGCTAAAACCTAGCTAATCATACACATATGAAGGTAAAATTCGATATGGTAGCTGTAGTCTGAGTGCTGCACCCTCTGTCTAAACCTTTGTGCCAACGCTGTCTGTTAGCAAAATATCTCATAAATTACAGGATAGATTTTAACTAACATTATTCAAGATGGCCGCCACAGTCAGCTGAAAAACTGCTTTGATTTAGTCAGTTTTACAGAAACTGAGCTAGAATTGGGCGTGGCCAAACACAGATCACAGGAGATTAACAGTATTTTCAAGGTTTAACCAAATTGGCTTCTTTCAACATTTTAGTTTAAAACTCGAGCATGAAAGCGAGCGATATGTATTCCTCTCTTTTCTATCCTTGATTGTGACTTCTTGCTGCCGCTCTGACGTCACTCTGTGACTCTGCAAACATCTCCCATCAACTGGACGTTCACTCCTCCCTCCACATCAGCCCGACTCTGATAGATTAACCCAGAAGGAGTGGTCGAACAGAAAATCCAGGTCAGGGCAGATTAGAAGATTAGATTTTCAGTCTGAGCTCTTATTAAAGCAGAAATAAATAATTTTATATCACAGAAATCATGTTGGCTACAGTTCTGCTTGTTTACCTTGAACAGTTGCAGTCTTCAACTAATTTTAAGTAAAATCTTTTAACAGTTAAATGAAATATAAGGATTTTAA